GTGTGTGTGTGAGAGAGAGAGAGAGAAGGGGGGGGAATGTGCCAAGCTGTCCGTTATGTGACTCTGACACGTGCTACTTCGTTTCTTCTTTGCGTTTTGCCTTCCCGGAAATGCTCCAAGATGCTCTTATGTCAATGCTACTCCCGAGAAGTCCCCCACCCGAAGAGCAACTGCCAAGCAGATTGAATGCTGATTGTTTCATTCATACAATGCAAAACCTGCGTAACATCAGTCTCACTCCTATAGTTGGAGCCGACTTCCTTCAACTTCCCCGGGCCAATCGTCAATGATATCATCCGAGCCCACCAAAGTGAGACTCACCCACACACGCATGCACTTGCGCACATAGCGTAAAAACTCAACAAGTAAGCACGGGGCATGCATACATGCAAGATGTGTTGATCACAAACATATCCAGAGAACACAGCAAACAAAGTCTGAATCTGAATCTTTAGCTGCAAAAACATCAACGGGACAATGGACAGGATTTTCTCAGAAAAGTGCAGAGTTCTTGCACATCACAAAACAAAAACGATGCTGCAAAGGTAATGGCTCCCCAAACAAAACACTCAAGGATAAAGGGGAAGAAAGGCTCGGCGGCATATGATAGGGGAGTTCCTTCTGCTTTTCTTTCTTTTGTGCTTTTTTTCCTTTTCTGTTTTTGCGGGCGAAGCCGCAACGGGTCATCTAGTAAGTAGTTGTAACGTGTAACCCATAACTGCTGGAAAGCAGACCTGACTTCGGATATGTTGCTGGCCTGCTCCATTCTCACGTGAAATTTGCTGAACGTCTCTTGAGACGTTGGGACCTTTGCAGATGCACTGGGGTCCTTCGGGAAAAGGACAATTCAACAAGGAAAACCTGTGCTCAATTTTTTTTTCTGTGCCCTTCGACATTTTAGAAGGGAGGGGCACCATTGGCTACCTCAGCCAGCCCTCTCCAATTTTTTTTTACTCTATTTATTGGGGTGCGCGCGCATGGTTGCGCGTGCACTAGGCGCCACACGTGCGTAGCTCGCCCGCACGCGATGCGCCGGAGTATAGGGGTGATATAGGGGGTTATGGATAGTTTAATAAGGGTGTTGGCGGCTGTTCGGGGCTGTTGGGGTGGTATATGGGGTATTGGGCCCCGCTATGGGGGTGTTGGTGATATTATTAGGGGTTCTGGACCCCATTAAAAAAAAAAAAAATGCGGGGTGCCGACGACCCCCGACCAGTAGGTGCTGACCAGCCGACCGGTCGGCGGGTCGGCAGCCGACCAGTCAAGGGTCGCTGACGGTCGGGGTGTGCAACACTGTTTGTCAGCATATTTTCTCCTTTTAACATGTCTTAAATAATAATATTCCAACCACACTGAGGACATTACATTAGAATGGCCCCAGCCGAACAATCATATCCTTAATTCCCAAATTGGTCCAATTTATAAGCATATAAGAAAAAGAAAAGCATTAGATCGTGGTTTCCAACCCACGAGATCAAACATGCTCTTTGCCATTCCAATTTAATATGACACTTTCAGCTGTCCTATATTAGACACCAATCCGCCGTTTGTCCCATTTTTGCCCACCTATATATCGCTCATCTTCTCCGGTACCCGTAATAGCACTCCTATGTTCTATCTACTAAATGCAATTCCAATTTAAACCACCAGTACTTGGCCCAGCTATCGGCCGCGGAAGAAATTAGAGTAGAAACGTTTCTAGTCGGATGAATTTGGGCGCTCCTCTAGTGGCCCGTACGTTCCCTAAAATCGTGGCGCGCTAACGGGCACGACTCTAGGATGTACTGGTGGTTTAATATGACACTTTCAGCTGTCCTTTATTACACACCATTCCGCCATTGGTCCCGTTTTTGCCGACCTATATATCGCCCATCTTTTCCGGTACCCGTAATAGCTGTCATATGTTCTACCTACTAAATGCAATGCCGTTCCTAACCCTTCCTGGCTGGGGCGGAGCCGTACCGGCTCTTCTTGTTCTTCCTTTTTTCTGGCCTGCAATCAACATGCCATTTGTCGGGAGTGTATGGTGGGTATGCTCAATCGCAACCGTCGCGGCAATCGTTGTACTGAGAATGCTAAGCTAGGTCTTCCACCTCATCCTTACAATGTATGTCCTCTCTGTCGTCAAGGACAGACTCATTCTTAAACCTTTTCTTATCCTCTCCTTTGCCTTCTTCTTCATTCCACACACTGTACTTTCCCTTATTTTCCCTTTGTCGTTCTTTGTTTGTCGTCTCTCCATCTCTCTTCCCTGTGTTTATCCTCTGCCCCTTTACTCTGCCTCTTTCTCACAGCGTACAAGTGGGCCTTTATGGCACACGGGGATGCGGGCAGCTCGCACTCAACTTCATCAACGTGGCGAGCCTTGTAACACGAGAGGCACGGCGAGGGGGGAGTTGAAAGAACAGTGAGAACAATGAATGGTTTCACTGTGCCCCTCATGTTGGTCGTGTTTTTTCATTTTTAGTTTTAGCGTTTGTTTCGCAAATTGCGCTCTTTTAGTTCATAGATATGCGACAATATGTGCCAAAAGAGAAGAAAATAAATTCAGATAATCTAATATCAACAATATGTGCCAAAAGAGAAGAAATAAATTCAGATAATCTAATATCAACTCACTGGGTATCGAACGAGTGACCTGCTACCAGAAAAGAGGTGGATCACTTATCCAATACGTGAAGTGAAGCGGGGCGTGAAACTGAAACGCGCCCCGCAAACCCCCCCACCTGCGGCCCTTTGTGGTGACGATTTGTGCCATCCCAGCATAGATGTTAAATTGTTAATGCATGAGCAGATGTACCTGGACTCAACCCAAGTGCAGGTGAGGGCTAGCTCATGGTTTAGCAAGCGCCACTCTGCAGTGAAGGAACAAACTTGACATTGGCTGGCAACCTGATACACAGCTCCAAGGGATATGGAGCTTATGACTGGGCAGTAAATACGTCATTCGTGGGTAGCACGGTGTACGTGTACGTGGGTTTCACATACAGGAGTACATGTACTCCCGCACATGACACATATACACCTTCAAGGAAGTTGAGCAATAGCGAACTTCAGCAATCAAACAGCATCATACATATGAGTCCAGATAGTTGTGACCTCGAACCAGCAGCAGAATTGCATCACGAGATTCACCAAATAAGAACACACCAAGAGTTCATAATTGACAATGCTGAAATAGTCCCATCATCATCAACGAAGAACCAGATCTGGCGCTCGGCGCCCAGACTACATGTGGCAGATCCTATCTAGCCTACACTACGATGCCGAAAGATGACGTCAACAGCATTCCCCAAGTACGAGCATATGGCGACCAATGTCGCACACTTGCAGCACCAGGTATGTCTCTTGCCACACTCACAACCTCGTTCCCCAACACACAGATGCCACTAACACCCAAGGACCACCCTGCGCTTCACCCAGCTTACAGCAGCGCAGCTCGGCTATGGCTGCGTGCTCCTTCCCTGCTCGCCCGTGAGAGCGTAGGCGCCAGCCAGCAAATAGCGCAGCAGCGCTTGCGCGGCATGCAGCCAGCACCCGAATGCCGAATGAGGAGGCAGGCCCTTTGCTATATCGAAGTGGCCTGCCTGCGTCCAGTCCCAGGAAGCTTCCAGTAGGCCCCGGTAGCCCGAGGCCCAGCACGACGAGAACAGGCCTTGGGCCTGAGGTGGTTGCATGTGCCCAACTGCCTTTGGCCTTTGTTTGGCCCGGTCCCCGTATCCAGCCCAGGGCCTGCTTCACATACATTCACACAGGCAGCCCAGGGCCTGGGTTCACTCAACCAACTGGCGCTGCACAACTGCCTGAATTTCCCTGAGTTGCGTGGTGGCCAAAAAAGGGCCCTCAGGGCCTCGTCGAGCCTGCCTTCACTTAGGGCGGCCGACGGGCTGCAAAAATGAGGCCTTATGGGGCTCATGGAGGCAGTGGCATCGCATTCGCTCCTCCTTAGCTTCAACAGTCCTCTGAGAAGCTCAGTCTTCAACCATCGGGCGCTTTCCCTTTTGCAGAGATCTCTCGTATTGAGTTACAACTTGAGGAGCGGTCTGCACGAGTTCTTCCCTGGTGAACCAGCGGTCCTCCTTCGGTTCAGTGTGATGCCGGAACCGAACGCGGTACTGCAACTTCGGTTTCGGAGGACGTCCCCTGCCTGCTGGTCTTGATACCGACAGCTCTTTGTGATCCACGATGTCATCAATGTCCACCTCTCCGTCCATGGTTGGGGGCAGCATTGAGCGACGAGATGGGAATTGATCAGTCTCTTTGAAAGGTGCCAGTTTGGAGGCGTGAAAGACAGGGTAAGTACGAAGATGACCAGGGATCCGAATAACATAAGATGGCCCATCCGGATCTGTCCTGACGATGTCCAAGACTTCCCAAGGTCCAAAGTACTGGGGCATGAGTTTGCGGGAGATCCCGTACCCCTGTCCCAGTTCTGAAGACTTAACCCAGACCCTATCCCCAACTTGAAATGTAGAAGGCCGGCGGTGTCTATTTTCAGACTATATCATTGCAGCCTGCGCCTTTTGCATTTGTTCTACAGCCTGCTGCATCTTTTGTTCATAGCGGTAAGCAAATTCTAAGGTACCTGGTGCAGCTGCTGACTGATTCTCAGGAAGGAGAAAGTCCAAGAGTAGTCTAGGCTTGAAAGTCAGTAGCAAACCGTTCGGGCTCACCCTGGTGGCGCTGTGTACCGCATTGTTATACGGACTGGCGATGAGTGCAAGCTTCTCATCCCAGTCCACCTGGTTGGGCTTGATGTAATGCCTCAACAGGTGTTGTACAACGCGGTTCAGTTGCTCGGCCTGGCCGTTGGCCTTTGGGTGATTCCCAAAAGTCATTTGCAACCGAGTTCCCTGTTCTGCAGCAGCGACCTTCCACAGTTCGCTGGTAAATCGGACATCCCTGTCACTGATTATGGATTTCGGTAGGCCAAAATCCCTGACCCAGTTCTCTTTAAACATTCTAATCACGTACTCCGTCTTTGCTGTTTTCGGCATTGCTATTAACCTAGCATACTTACTAAATCTATCCACGATGACGAAGATGTGACGCATCCCACTCTTGCTGGTGATTAGAGTGTCCATGAAATCCATGGACAGACTCTCACCAGGCCGTTCCGGAATCGGAAGGGGCTTCAGAAGCCCAAGAGGAGCCTGAGTACGTGGGTTGTCCCGTTGACAAACTTGACAAGTCTCAACGTAAAGCTGGGCATCTCGCATCATCGTGGGCCACCAGACCCGCTGCAACAAGTTGGCTGCGGTCTTTTTATACCCAAAATGGCCGGTGGCATCATGACACTCACCTAAAAACAAACCACGCAAAGACTCGCTATTGGGAACACACAATCGTTTATTCCCTGCCTTCTCAAGGAATAGCAAGCCATTGACCAACTCAAACTCGGCAGAGGTCTTCTTGTCCTTTGCCTGAAGTCTGCGTATGATCTCAAACATGAACTGGTCCTCACGATAGGCTTCCACCAAGGACCGAGTAACATGGTCCGTCAGATCGAACTCAGTAATCAGCGCACCTGAGAAATCAGGTCTACGCGACAAGGCATCCGCAACCTTGTTGTACTCCCCTTTCAGATACTGAGGGTCAAAGTCATACTGCTGAATGACTTAAATCCAACGCTTGAGTGCATCAGAAAGTACAGGCTGGGTTCTCATCCATCTCAGGGTCTGATGATCAGTCCTGAGGATGAAGAATCTCCCAAGGAGATAGTGTCTCCAATGGGTCATAGAGTTCCTTCTCATAGGTGGACTTAGCCAACTTCTGAGACGACATTTTCTTGGACATGTACTCTACAGGCCTCAACTTTGGCCCCTCCTGCTGCACGAGGACGGCGCCAATGCCATATTGATTGGTATCCATGGTGACTATAAACGGCTTGTCAGGATCAGGAAGTTTCAAGACCTCGTAGTGCGTCAACGCATGCTTCAGATGTCTGAAAGCTGCCTCGCACTCGTCTGTCCACTCCCATGGGGTGTCAAGGCGGGTCAGATCAGTCAAAGGAGCGGCCACTGTGCTATAGTTCTTAACGAAAGTCCTATAGTAGTCTGTGATTCCTAAGAAAGATCTCATCTCAGTGACAAACTGAGGACGTGGCCAATCACGAATGCTGGCCACCTTCACGTCATCGAGCTTCAAACCTTCCGCGGAGATCTCATGACCCAAGTACAAGACACGGGTGCGGCCAAACTCGCACTTCTCTCCGTTGATCTTAAACTTGTGCTGTCGCAGGAGACTGAGGACTTTGTCCAAATGTGCAACGTGCTCCTCGACAGTCTTACTAAAAAAACGTATGTCATCGAGGTACACGATGACAAACTTATCCAAGTAGTCATGGAATATCCGATTCATAGCGTGCTGAAAGGTTCCAGGAGCATTGCAAAGGCCGAAAGGCATCGCCACAAACTCGTACAGACCGTACCTGGTCTGGAAGGCGGTTTTGTGTCGATCCTTGGGCCGGATTGCAATCTGATCGTACTCGGACTTCAGATCTATCTTACTGAAGTACCGACACCCTTGCACTCTATCTAACAAATCATCGATGCGCGGTAGGGGCTCTCTATTCTTTACAGTGATGGCATTGAGGCCCCTATAGTCAATGCACATCCTAAGTGTACCCTCCTCCTTCTTACGTACAAATAGTACTGGAGACCCATAAGGAGAGACACTCGGCCGGATCCAACCCTTCTCTACGAGTTCCTTGAGTTGGCGGCGAAGCTCGTCAAGCTCGCCTGGAGACATCCGATAGATCCTACCCTTCGGGATACTAGACCCTGGGATAATCTCTATCGCGTGGACGACCTCCCTCTCAACAACCCCTGTTGGCTCTTCAAATAGATCAGGGTACTTAGCAACTACTCCCTCTATCTCCGGTGACATTTTCACCGGCTCGCCTGCAGCAGAGACATAGACTAAATACATACCCTCCTCCTGATTTTGCTTATAACAATTGTAGAACGCGGCCGCACACATGCACCCATAGGACTCAATCAGACTACTAGCTTTGAACTTGTGTAATCTGGCGGTCCCTCCACCTGGCAAATTGTGTTTGACCACTTTTCGGTCCCAGTCAAACTGGGGCTGTGCCATAGAGAGGTAGTACATACCTAGTAACATATCCATTGGGAGCTCGTCACTCACTAGGAACGAGACACGATGTCTCAAGTTCCCTCCCGGGTACGGGAAACAACACTCAACATCTTGGAGGTAGTCATTGACTACCATGCGCTGTTTGTTGGCACAAGTCGACTCCACAGGTCGACTCAGGCGCTGCACTCGCCCCTGTAAACGCAGCTTCTCAACGTACGCGCGACTGATAAAGTTTCTAGTCGAGCAAGTGTCATAATAGGCCCCGGCCTTGCGGCCGCCAATGACAACCTCGCTGACGAACATCTCACCCTTAGGGGCTTTGACTAGGGCCGTCCAAGAAGCTAGTGGGTCTGATCTAGACCACTCCACCTCTAGCTCCTCTAAGTACTCAAACACATTCATCGAACAAAGGCTCGATGGGTCTGAACGTGTTTGTGGGACGATGCTGAAGTCAGTAGCTTGGGCCATCTCTTGAGATGGTGAGGGTGTCTCCACCACCTCGACCCTAGCATAAACACCTACTATGCCTACTGGCCCGACGTGTTTTCCGGAGCACTGCCAGAAGTACTGGCAACATTGCTACCAACGGGCTGAGAGGATCCCAACACCTGCTCCATCGTAGGCGGGATCTTTTCGGTTACCTTCTTATTGCGACACTTGTACTGACTATGGCCGTATTGACCACAACGAATACAGGCCTGCCGTGAGTACTGGTCTCTCCACACGTCCTCAGTGATACCCGCTTTCTCCCATGGAGGAGCGTTGGGGTCAACTTGACTCCTGGACCGGGAGCCTCCGCGGCGTCTACCGGTCGCCTTACCTTTCTGAGCAACGACAACGACTACTCCACCCTCTGAAGTTTCTACGCTGCCCCCCTCTGAACCTAGTCCCTCGTGGAAGTGTTCGTCTACTTCGATAGTGGAACCATCATTATCGACAAACATTAAGCGACCCTTCGCCTTCCAGTTAGGAGGCAGTGTCTTCTTCCTCCCATCCGTACTGGGTGCCTGTCCATGCCCTATCTTAGCTTCAAGGTCTAGGGCCATCTTGCTGAACGAAGGAAAGTTGTGCATATTGATGTTGGCCTGTCTTGCCAACTGGTTCCTGAGAGGCCGAGAAAAGCATCTCAAGTACGAGGTAAGCAGGACCTGGGGGTCATAGCGCACCCCTGGGACACAGATCAAATGCTCAACAACTTCGGTGGCTTCCCTTACTGACTTGAACTGCCGCATGTGCAGTGTCAGGATCGCATCAGTGGCCCTTTGGGCCTCCTGAGGATCATGCCACCTCTCTTCCACCATCTTCAGGAAGTCCTCCAATTTTTGGGAGGCTGCCCAAGCGCGGAAGTCATGACCATACCCCTGGAGCTGCACTAAACCACTCAACCATCTTGCTGCACTACCCTCTAGGTAGGAAGCAGCCACAAACACGTCTTCGTGCGGCAAGGTAAGTTTACACCTGACATAGACTGGCATTGACCTCAACCATGTGTCGAGGTCTTCGCCTCTCGTGTCCCCTGTGAAGGGTTTCGGAGCGGCGATGGCTGTCTTTGGAACCCACTATTGTTGTCCCGGTCGCTGCACCACTCCGGGCTGTGGACCCGGTGATAAAGGCTGTTGTGCTAGCTGCTGAGGCTGTGTGCCCTGCGGCTGCACAGGCTGCGAGACAGCAGGCTGCGTGGTGACTACAACCTGGGACGGAGTTGGGTGGACACTGTCTGAACAGGAACCTGCAAACTAGTCCTTGCTGATACCCCTCCTGACAGCGGCATGCCCAGGGAAACGATTGCAACCGATGACGGGGCTGCATATGGGAATACCCCTGTCACCGGTGGGACAGAAAAAGGAGGATATGGCACGGGCCAGGCACCAGGCCCGGCTGGTGATGGTACCGCCTGAGTACGCCCTGCGAGAACGGCTAGTCTCTGTTGGATATCCTGAAGGATGGTAGTCTGGTGCTCCTGCATCTCTATTACGCCTAGCAGGGCCCTCCTAACTACCCTCACATCATCATCCATGTTCGTCAGGTCCATCGTCTCTAACTCCTCGATGTCTGCCCCTCTCCGCTGCATCCTGGCTCTTCTTCTAATCATCTTTTCCTTCTCCGCTTTTATCTGTCCTAATGCCTGCTGTAACTGTGCCTCCCGCAGGGCTGCCTGCTGGATGGCGACATCCTCTGGGCTCAACACTACTGCCTGGCTTGCCATAACGCCAGTGGACTGACTCACGGTCTGCGCGACCGTTGACCCGACTATACCTGAACTGCTGGCCTGGGAAGTCTGCTGCGCAGAAGTGACCATAGCGGAAGTGGCCATGGCTGCTGTAGCAGCGGCCTCGCTAGCGAAAGCCCTGTTGGCCTCGGCTGCTGTAGCTATCCTCTGCTGCTGCTGCCTCTCCCTAAGCTGGCGGAACAGAATCCTATCACCCTCCGGTCCTAAGGACACGTGGGCTATCGGGGCGTCTAGCTGATCACAAGATCCGGTCGTCCGGTGGTGTGTCCTCCCTGTCGCTCATATGCTACAGCACTGTGCACCGTCTACACTAGGTCACTAAAGATGCCTACCGCAACAGAGTGCACATACCAATTTAAAATTAATTGGTGACTGTTCCGGAGCAGATACATTCGGGTTCTAACAGGTAAGTCCAGGTTCCTACAAACGAAACTATTTTTAGTCTGACTAGTCTGCAAACAGAAGCACCAGGAACAATAAACAGTTCTAACTCATGCTGTCTGTCAGATGTCAATGGCTGTACACCTAACTAATCAAAACATAAAAATATAATCATTTGTGTGGATAGGACAGCATGGAATTTTCTCGAATTTATCACCTGGAATCAACCCCTCCCTTAGTTCCCCTGAGTATCACTCGACGTCAGCGTCCCTGAGCAATCTGGAGAGCGTCACGTGTCTAAAGGTGTGTGTCCGGCCCACCCCTGTGCCCCGAGTATCTGCTGAGCTGGCCAGCCCTGCACTGGATTATCCTCGCGTGCAGCGAGCCTTACAACCATTGGCTGATCCAGAGGCAATTTAGCGTCCGCCCCCAAGTGACTCCAGGAATTCTTTTACGTCGCAGCCGGACGACGATCACAGCCAATTGTTCCCCTTCCGGTGCTTATTTAAAGACGCCCGGTCTCGTCTCCCTCAAGGGCTGGCCTGCCCAACAGTACCCATCTAACAGCGCAGCAAGCCGAACAAAGGACAAGCAGCAAGGCATGCGTGCTCTACTCCCTGTGGGTTGGCATGGTGACCGTGACCCAGTGCTTCGTCCAGGGCCCTTCAGAAAACTCCGCCCATCTTCTCCCAGATGCTCCACGTGAACATTGCCGACTCTCAAGGTTGAGCGCACTCGACACCTCACAATGAGAGGACCCTCAAGAAGGAACACAACCTCACGGTAAGAAGTGTCGGAGAGAGTGGACAAGGTTAAGAGCAACGTACCTCAAATAGCTGCCCCCAACCACAGAGATAATCTCACCAGATGACCAGATGACCAGATGGCGATTGCGATGACCAGTCACTGCATCGGCACAACCAGCATTATCTCGCCGTTCCACCTCAGCATCAATCACACATTAGATAGTTCTCATCACACTGTCCAGACCACATTACCCCCTCGTAGCCTTCCTGGCGATCCCCTCACCTCCTGGGTCGCCTATTACTTGTCTCCACCCTCCTCACTACACACCACTTACGGCCAAACTCGCCCAGCAGACCGCATGTATGTACCGCATAAGGCAGAAGACAAGCGCCAGATGAGCGCAAACGTACCACAGCTCCGATACCAAATTGCAAGGAAGTTGAGCAATAACGAACTTCAGCAATCAAACAGCATCATACATACGAGTCCAGATAGTCGTGACCTCGAACCAACAGCAGAATTGCATCACGAGATTCACCAAATAAGAACACACCCAGAGTTCATAATTGACAATGCTGAAATAGTCCCATCATCATCAACGAAGAACCAGAGTTGATATCCTATCTGGCGCTCGGCGCCCAGACTACATG